GTTCTGGAGGCAGATTGGAAGCCATATGGAGGCTTGGGGGGGTGGTTTGGATCCCATAGCCGGGTGGGGGGCACCTTTGGGGGGTTTTGGGGTGATCTTAGGGGCAGATTAGGGATATTTGAGGGATCTGGGGGTGGTTTGGGAGCACACAGAGCAGATTTTGGGGCCGTTTGGGGGCACACAGTGCAGATTTTGGGATTCTGTGGGGCTGTGGGACCCCCGTGGGTTGTTGGGGGGGTCCTGGGCTGTCATCCCTCCCCCCTTTTTTGACACTTTTGTGGCCGTGCAGGCGACGCATGCAGGGCTGGGCTGTGCTGTGGGTGCCAGGCACCGACCACGCAGGTATTGCCACTCAGGTGAGCATTGTGTCCCCAAATGTCCCCGAGTGGTGGCGAAACGATGGCTGTGACATCCCCAAATGTCCCCTAAATGTCCCCAGGTGGTGGTGGAAAGGTGGCTGTGGCAACAGCGGGGTTTGCGACGTCAGGATCTGTCCCGTTCTGAGTTTTTGGATGAGGTCTGGGCTTGGAAGGAGAGGTGAGGATGCGGGGACATGGTGGGGACACAGTTGGGGACACGAGGAAGAAGGGAACGGGAGGAAGATGTGGGCTGGAAGGGACATGGGAGAGGGTTGGGGACATTTAAAAGGTGTGGGAAGGTGTTGGGGGCACGGGTTGGGGACGTTGGAAGGGCAGTAGGAAGGGATTGGGGACATGGGATGTGGGTTGGGGACAACAAAAGGGTGTTAGGAAGGGACGTGGGACGTGGACCATGGGTTGGGGACATTGGAAGGTCTTGGGAAGGGATTGGGAATGTGGGTTGGGGACACTGAAAGGATGTTGGGAGGGGTTGGGGACAGCAGACGGATGTTAGGAAAGGGTTGGGGACACCAGAAGGACGTTGGGAAGGAACTGGGGACATGAGACATGGGTTGGGAACGCCAGAAAGATGTTAGGAAGGGGTTGGGGGCATCAGAAAAATATTAGGAAGGAGTTGGGGACATGAGACATGGGTTGGGGACACTGGAAGGACATTGGGAAGGGGTTGGGGACACGAGACATGGGTTGGGGCCACCAGCAAGACGTTGGGAGGGAGTTGGAGACAAAAACATGGGTTGGGGAGAGCAGAAGGGTGTTAAGAAGGAGTTGGGGACACAAAAAGTGGGTTGGGGACATGAAACGTGGGTTGGGGACACCTTGGGGACTCGTCACCCCCAGGCACGGTGACGAAATCCTACGCCAGCTGC